TTATGTTTGTTATTAGGATAAATGAACCCTTCAGATTGCTCCATGTATATCTCATCTTCTAACTCTCCATATAGGAATACCATTTTTATATCCATTTGATGAATCTCAAGGTTATGTATTGCCGCAATTGCAATTAGTAACCTTATCAAAGTAATTCTAGTTACAGGTGAGTAGGTATCAAATAAATCAAGTCCCTTTTTTTTGCCTATATCATTTGGCAACCAACCTAGCCTTATACTTATAAATGGATCCATTAGGTTTCAATTTCCTTTTGAATATCCATTTACATCCTAAAGGCTTGTTCCCGAGAGGTAAATCAAATAACTCCCACATATGATTTTTCATTATGGAATCTATTTCACTATTGATAGCTTTCTTCAAATGAGGTGCTTCCAGTGTAGACATGGCTTTATCGAAAGTCTTTAAATCATTTTCTATCATGTAGGTTATAAAATCTTGGTCAAATGAAGTAGATATTCTTGCCCTTTTACTACGCCTTAGTTCTTCCTCATAGGAAGTACTATTTGTAGTATCATAAGTTCTTTTGTTTGTACTTGTAGTTTCCTTTTCTTTACAAGGAAACACATTCTCGAAGAATGTTGCATTTCTTGATTCAATTATGGTTCCCTCATGTACATCTTGAATTTCAGATTTGTGTACAAGGAATCGATATGCACTACTATTATTGGCGTATCCAATAAATATGCAATCAATCGTCTTGTGTCCAATTTTCACTTGCTTAGGTTTAGGTACTTCAACCTTAGCCAAGCACCCCACACTTTCAATTGTTGGTAGGATGGAGGATGACCTTTCCATAATTCATATGGAGTCTCTTCCATTTTCTTAAGGGGTATTCGATTAAGAAGACTATTTGCCATTAGATTAGCTTCCCCCCCTCCCCCACACCCACACCCACAAATTCTGCAGTAAGCTCGAACTTAGTAACATTGCATTCATCATCTATTTGAGAGTTCGATTTTTACGTTCAGCAATGCCATTCAATTGAGGAGAGTAAGGTGTCATTGTTTGATGAATAATTCTACGTTCAGAACAAAATTCTTCAAACGGTGCCCCGTATTCACCTCCTCTATCACTACGAATATTCTTTATTCATTTATCGAGTTGAGTTTCAACTTCAGCCTTATATAGTTTAAAGGCTTCCAACGGTTCGTCTTTACTTCTCAAAAGAAAGATATAACAATACCTTATACAGTCGTCGATGAAAGTCACAAAGTATTTCTTACCACCTTTAGTTTGAACATATTTTAAATCATATATATCACTATGTATTAACTCTAAAGGTGTAGTGTTCCTTTGAGTTGAGTGGAACGGTGTTATAGCCAATTTTGCTTCAACACACATTTCTCATTTATGATTAAGATCAATCTTAAGCACCAGAATTAAACTTTGATTCATAAGTTTGAGTAAAGATTTAAAATTCGCATGTCCTAATCGACTATGTGACAAACAAGATAACTCAAGGAAGTAAACAGAATTTGAACTTTTATTCGTTGAGTTTTATCTTGGTACAATAGTAAGAATGTTCAATTTGGACATTCCATCACACATGTATCCCGTGCCTACATACATCTCATTCTTAGACAGTACAAATTTATCGAATACAAACACTAGCTTAACGCCATTTTTACTAAGAAGAGACCCAGACACTGAATTCTTTTGTATGTCTGGCACATATAGGACATTGTTGAGGATGAGCTCTTTTCTGAATGTCATCTTCAAAGTGACTTTGCCATGTCCTTCAACCTTGGAACTTACAAAGTTCCTCATGTAAAGTTGTTCCCCGTTCAGTTCGTGATAGTTGGAGAATATGGTCCTATCTGAACATATCAGTATCACCCCACCATTCCCTCGAGTTTCCAACCATGTTGCACTCGGAGACAACCACAGATAGTCTCATTTCTTGCATCCCTTCAGAAATGGTGTCTTTCTCAACCATGCTGGCCTGAGCATTCTTCTTTGACTTTCGACATTCGCTTGAACGATGTCCAGCATTTCCACAGTTATAGCAGTTCTCCTTAAACTTTTTGGCCTTCTTGGAGTTATCTCTTCGTGGTGCCTCACCGGAGAACTTTCGTTTCTTGTTGACAGCCTTCGAGTTAGTTTCAACAAAGTTTGCTCCAAGTTGGACAATAGGCCTTCTTTCAGATTTTCTATTGCCTTCTTCGATCCTCAAGCGAACAATCAACTCTTCCAAGTTCATTTCCTTACATTTATGCTTGAGGTAGTTTTTGAAGTCTCTCCCTATAGGAGGGAGCTTTCGATGATGGCAGCAACTTGGAAGGATTCGCTCAATTCCATCTTTTCGACATGGATATCATGCAATAGAACTTGAAGTTCTTGCACTTGGTTGATCACCGTTTTGGAATCCACCATTTTATAGTCCAAAAACTTGCCGACTATAAACTTCTTTGTTCCAACGTCCTTGGTCTTATACTTCTTTTCCAATGAATCCCATAAATCCTTAGCCAAGTCCTTTGATCCATACACTCCTTAAAGTGTATTATCCAATCCATTAAGGATGTAGTTCTAGCACAAAAAATCAGAATGATTCCATGCGTCCAAGGCGATAATCAATTCACCTCTCCTTTTTGTATGGCTAGCGAAGTCTCCTTTAGAAACTTTGCCAAATTGAGTGTAGTATGAAAAACTAAAATTGCAGCCAAGAAGTAGTAAGAAGAAGTAGTAGGAAATAATAATCCGAGGCAAATGATGACACTTTCTCCTTAAGACAATATTACCCCACTACGGTGCTCACGGTTGTTGACACTTATCTCCCAAGATATAACGGATTCAATTCTTGTGATAGCAGCACTTCAAACCACAAGACAACGATGAACGTGATTGAATTCCCTCTCTATAAGGAAAAACGGTTTTGGAATGAATTTGGGAGAGTTTTTGCAAGATATTTTATGAATGCACAATGCACATATGGTATGAAAATGCAAAAGGGAGGTCCAAGGATTTCTATATATAGATGATGAGGGGTTGTGAATGAAATACCGTACCCCAAACACTTGCCAAATGTCGCACCATTCACTGTCGCTAACCTATCACCATCGCCTCGCTTGAGCGATAAAAACAATAACTTTTTCGCTAGGTTATCGCTGGCTTGTCTCTCAAGCAATAATCCTGTCACTCGAGCGACAATCCAATCATAAGCTAACAACAACCTTAGTCAATTTTTCAAATAGCTTCCTCTATTTTCTTCCCAACTTCGGACCACAATTTCTCATTCATCCGAAATTGGTTTTAAGATTCCAAATATACCATGACGATCTACTCGACGAGTAGAACAAGTTCGTCTATTTACATTTGTAATTTGACCATCAGATCAAGTCCGAATATTCGGCCGAAATTGTCACGAAAGTAATTTTTTCCCAAGTTTTTGGTTTTGACACTAAACCAAATTTTTAATCTTCTAAACCAATTTCCAACAAAAATAACATAGGAAAAAGAGGAAAATACTCTCAGATTCAACTAAAAAGATTATTGTCACTGGAAATTGACAGCAACAACCTTCCCTCCAAACACATGGAATGAAATTTTAAAGAATAAACAACACTTTAAATAAAATTCGCCATATATTCACAGTAGCAGCCACTACAAAGTTGAAGATCTCTTCACTATGAAACAAGTAGGGAGCAATAGCAACACATAAATGTGAATATAGTTCACATTAATACATAGATGATGTACATAAAGAGATACATACAGAACGAGACACTAACATAGATCTCCGGCCACAATTCACAAGAGACAGAAGCACAAATCAGAATATAATTAATGCTAAATTTTGTACCACATATGTGATAAAACAAATTGTTAGCTAGGCATATAGCTGAGGACTAAAGGTGAAACCTGAGCCTCGAACCAATGGAGCAGTATATTTTGGAGCCATGTCAAAGCCAGTTGTTCGCTTACTTTGATTACTAGCCCAAAAAGAATTGCTAGGCAATATGTCGTCATATTTCAACTTCTATAATGTATTCTTTAGTAGAAATGAGCTAAAATGCACTAAGGAATTTTTTGACTTCATAGTGAGGAAATTGTTAGGTAATTGCCTCAAAAG